TTGCTGGTGATGTAGCAACCAACCCAGGCCCAACATCTGACTCACAATCAAGGGACGGTTTCAAGATACTGTATTTAAATGCAAGAAGCCTGAAAGCATTTGTTCATCCACCGGGGAATACCTCCCCGAAAGTTTGCAAAATTTCGTTATTTCAAGATTTAGTATACAGTGGAAATTATGACGTCGTATGTGTTTGTGAGACGTGGTTAAACAACTCAGTTTTAAGCAGCGAAATTATACCTAATTATGGAACTGTCTTCCGGCGTGATAGAACTGGCAGAATTGGTGGTGGTGTTCTCGTTGCTATTAAGTCAGGAATACAAGTCACACGTCGTCACGATCTGGAAACTGACAACACGGAGCTTATTGTTACTGAACTTTTTAAATCGAACAGTAAACCTGTCATCCTTTACACTTTCTATCGCCCTCCTGACTCTACGCCTGATGTCCTTCAGTCACTGAACAACTCACTCCAAAGAAACCAAGAATCGAGTCGTATTGTGATGATCGGAGACTTTAACCTGCCATCTGTTAAATGGTCGAGTTATGAAAATGTTCCTGTGAATACCGGAGGGTCCAATGAGAATGAAGCATTTTGCGAAATGGTGGACGACAACTTCCTTCAACAGTTTATATCTGGTCCCATCCACATCGCTGGTAATAAACTCGACCTTTTGCTATGTAATTCTCCAGAAATCATCGGTGACGTTTCTGCATTCCTTCCTGAATGTTTCCCAACAGATCATTACGTCGTGGAAATTGATGTTCAACTGAAGTTTAAAAGAGCTAAGCCAGTTAAACGCCGAGTTTTTGACTACAGGAACGGTAAATTTGATGAGTTGCGCAATTTCCTCACGAGAAATCCCATTAATATTACTCCCACCGATGATATTGATAACTACACAGCCAGAAATCTCACAGGCCTGTCGCAAGCTGTTGATTTTACCGGCTTGCGGCAAGTTGTCAACAAGTCGCGACAGGTCTGTTGGTTTCGTCAGGCGGTAACAGGCTTGCGGGAACAGGTCTGTCGCAAGCTGCTGACAACAGAGCCGTAGCGACTTGTTGAAACAACCCGCTACAAACCTGTTACTAACAAGAGTAATATCATGATTGCGGGTATTCCCTTTGTTCTCGCAGGGCAATTAATGACTAATACACCTCATTATATTCATTTTTTCTAATCCTACCCGCTTTTACGTCATGTCAGGTAGAATTAGTTGTAATCCTACCCGAAACGACGTCAAAGCGGGTACGATTAGAAAAAATGAATATATCTGAAATCGCCAAAACTAAACAAAGACATGGAAAACAATTATACCATTTAATTTATACCATTATTTATTGTTAATTGGTTTTTAATGGCCCTGCGAGAACAACGGGAATACCCGCAATCTATGATATTACAAGGTAATAGCATAGAAAGAGGCGAATTAGCTATTGAAAACGTCCCGCCCGATGAGGGTCGTTTAGTAAAATTCCCTTGGGCGCCGCTCCCTCGGGAATTTTACTAAATGACCCTCATCGAGCGGCGCCCAAGGGAATTTTACTAAACGACCCTCATCGGGCGGGACGTTTTAATAGCTAATTCGCCTCTTTCTATGCTATTACTTATAAATAACAGGTCTGATAGAACAACTTGCAGCAAGTCTGTTGAAATCAACATGTCTGTTCCAACTTGTTCCAACAGACCTGTCGCGAGTTGTTTTTGTCAAGTCTGCAGCAAGCTTGTTACCAGACCTGCGACAGACCTGTCCACAACAAACAATTTTTGTCCTGTCAGAACAAGTTTCAACATGCCTGTTGTTGGGAAACAAATCGGAAATGTGAGTAAAGAGAAAAATCGCACGAAATCGACACGTCCGGCTTCACTTTCTCATTCAAGGCAATATTAAATCACATGCAGAGGAGATGAGGCTATGTGCACACGGTAACGTTTTCGAGCGTTTCCACGCTAAAACGGATGCAAACACTATCAATTTACAACAGAAGCTGTAGTTTATTTAATATATTGGAGATATATTTTCCTTTGGATCGTGTGAACAGGGTGTCAAAACGATTAAAGGAAAAAAAGGTTTTGAAAACGCTGGAAAACGACGCCCGTGTGAACATATCCTAAGTATCTACTCTGTGATTAAATGCAAAAGCCGCTGTTTTTAACTTTTTATATTTTTAAAAAATAATTCCGATTTCCAAAATCCAAATTCCAATTTGCTGACGTGTGCTATCGTTATATTTCTTTAATCTGATTGGATAAAGCCGTGTGCACACGTCATCATTCCTCGTTGCAATTGGACGAAATATTACAAACATATCAATCACGTAATCATGTTTATAGTTGTTTTTGAATTTTGAGCCAAACAAAATTTCAACAACTGCCTCAAACAAAATCAAACAAGTTCAAAGCTGTTTTGATTTTTGAAGAAACTGTGGCAATGAGAATACAAGATCTAGAGCTTAAGAAATGAAAAATACATGAGCAACCGAGTGTTCACTGCAACGTTCTTCATTGTTCAAATGAATATGAAATTCGTTATATACAATGATTTCTTTCCAATTTCAAGTGAAATCAGCCAGCGAGGAAGACGCCTTATTGAAGCTTTGTGTTATTGTATGTACTATTTTGAAGAAAAATATGCAAGTAGGTTGTCATATTTCGGTCGTACTTAAAGACCAATTAATTTTGAAAATTGTTTACGATAAGAACCTTTCTTGAATTTGTCGTATTTTTTCGGCTGTTTTGCTCAAAAATTATCTTGCAAGTTTGTTTATAAGTGTTCATAATTATGAAAGTCTGGCTATTTCACGAAACACTACAACCGAAATATGGCAACCGGTTTGGCCGTTTTTTTGTTCAAAATAGTGAATACACAAGCTTCATAAGGTCCTTTCCTCGGTTTGCAACAGGTCTGTCGCAAGTTGTTGAAAACAGCATTGCTGCAGCTCTGTCAACAACTTGCGACAGGCCTGTTGAAAACAGGTACAATCTTGACACATTTGTACAATCTTGACACATCCAAAGCGTGTGGTCCCGACGGCATTCCAACTCGTCTTCTGCAAGAATGCAGCATCCAAATTGCACCCAGCATTTGTGAACTATTCAATCATTCGCTGCACACCGGTCAGATCCCTTCTGAATGGAAATCTGCCAATGTTACGCCTATCCACAAGAAAGAGCGTAAAGAACCAGCCGAAAATTATAGACCTATTTCTTTGCTCCCCATCCTTGGAAAAGTTCTAGAACGTGGCGTGTGTTTCAGACTTTACGATCATGTCAAACATCTCATCACCAAATTTCAACATGGTTTCCTCAGACAACGTTCATGTGTCACCCAGCTCCTATCTGTTCTTCATGCTATCGGACAATCTCTCGACAAGAACACCCAAACAGACATCGTTTACCTAGATTTTGCAAAGGCATTTGACACTGTTGACCACAATATTCTTCTCCACAAACTTAAACAGTATGGCGTATATATCAGGACAGTTGTATGCATGGTTCGAAGACTATCTGAGCGGTCGTTGTCAACGAGTTGTGGTAGATGGAGTTGCATCTTCCTGGGCACCTGTAACATCTGGTGTGCCATGCACAAGGAAGTATCCTAGGACCTGTTCTGTTTGCGATCTTTATAAACGATCTTCCAAATGTACTACCAGACGAGACCTCGGCAGCATTGTATGCAGATGACACCAAAGTGTACAAATCAATTAAATCGGAAGATGACTGTCAAATTCTGCAACACGCCTTGACCAGCCTTGAATGTTGGAGTCATGATAACAACCTAGATTTCAACCAGTCGAAATGTAAGGTGCTGACCATCACACGAAAAAAGACTCCTCTTGTGCATGTCTACCACGTGAATTCAAAGGAACTCTTGCGTGTGGATAAAGAGAAAGACCTTGGTGTTTGCATCAGTGCCAACTTCAGTTGGGATGTTTACATCCACACAATCACGGATAAGGCTAACAAGATGCTCGGGCTGCTTAAACGAACTTGCCCTCTTTTGAGAGACAAAACAGTACGACGAAGGCTGTATCTCTCGCTTGTTAGATCTCAGCTATGTTACGCTAGTGAAGTTTGGTCTCCACACACTGTCAAACTCAAGTCTAGAGTCGAAAGCGTCCAAAGAAGAGCAACCGCGTGGATACTACAATCCAAGCATGGCGAAATGACATACCAACAACGGCTAATGAATCTCAACCTGCTCCCCCTCTGCTATGAAAGAGAGATTTCTGATCTGGTATTCTTCTTCAAGGCTCTCTTTGGCAACACAGATTTGGACGTTAACGCCTTTGTCTCCTTTTCCAACAACAATCGGACCCGACTATGTCAAAATCCCTCCCTCACCCTTAAAGTCCCCCTCTGTAAATCCAACACATTCAAAGCATCCTATTTCAACCGACTAGTTAAAATATGGAACTATACCTGTAAAATTCTACCTCCTACCACCTTCGCCACCCTCTCCTCGTTTACAAGAAACATTAAAAGCACATATGAACACTTGCTCGGAACAATGTTCGATGTAGAAATGCCATGTACATGGTCATTAGTGCGTGACTGTCCATGTCATAGAACTTAGTAAATAACTGTGTTTCATGTTTGTGCTGTTTTTGTATTGTATTTTGTTCTATTTGATTGTTTTGTATAGTTTTAGAATGGTAAGCACCTTGCATGGGACTTTATGTCTCGTTCGTGCTTGATATTGTCCATTTGAGTATTCTACTTATTTCTATATAGAACTGTTGTGTTTAAAGCGTTGTAGAATTCTCAATAAAATTGTTAAATTAGAATAAAGTTAATAAATTTACTGCAGTAATAAATTTATGTGGTGTATCTACAAACAATAGTATTATATGTTTTATCGTTCTGCCTTTAAACCTGCAAAGAACTGTCAGAACTCACTGACACATTCCAACAGTCTGCATTTACAATCTAAATCATTCTGACCATTTTTAACTTTAGTTTGAATAGCTTTGACTGAATAAGTGCCTTAAATATTAGCCAGCTTCGCAGAAGAAATGTTGGCTATTAGCGAAGCTCGGAACCAATGTTTGAAGTCTGAAGTCCCCTTCACGGCTTCCGTACTTTTATGCTGGTCTTTCGCGTGCTTATTTACATGATGTTTTTGTGTGTATTTTTGTCACTCTGAGTAAAGTCCATATAATTGTTTTTGTTTGTGGAAACACCACGTAAATTTATTACTGCAAAGCTTTCGATCCGTAAGCCCGGATCTTCATCAGTGCTAATAATATCACAGAATAGGAAGTTATACCAGAAGCGTAACTCTAGTCGTTTCCCTTATTGTTTGACGTCCACGAAAATTTTAACTCGCTCACGTCAGGCCACGCCATCCTGGCTAGTACAGCCGGAAGTTTTTATCAGGATTTGGTAGGTACAAAGTGCCGGTTGTACTAGCCAGGATGGCGTGATTGATGACGAATCACTTGTAAAAACGCGGACAAATATTTGCTCGAGTTACGCTTCTGGTATAACTTCCTATTCTGTGATAATATGTGACTTGTTTAATTCACACGCTCTTTTTATATACAAAAGTGTCGTGATCTGTTGCCTCGCGTTAATTAAACGAAATTTAATTAAACGGCACATCAACCACGTCATTTCAAAACGTAGTGAAGTGATTCCAATTAACGCGCGCGCATCCAAGACAAGAGAAATTAATTTTGCACATTAAAGAGAGCACGCCACGTACTATCTAGTGGCTTTCCCTCCTGATCTATAGTATTGTGCTTCTCGATTTCAATTGACTCTCTCATTTTGCGAGAGAACTTATGACTATCAATCGCCAAAATGGTTGCTTCGTCCCATTTTATACGATGGTCGTAAGTCCAAGTATGTTTAGCCACAGCCGATTTATCTTGCTCGGCTTTCTCGCAATTCGTCTTGTGTTCCTTAAGACGTAAAGAGAGATTTCTACCAGTTTCACCAATGTAAACCAGACCACATTCACAAGGAATGCGGTACACACCAGGTTTCTGAGATTCATTTACGTTGTCCTTATGTGTGCAAAGAGCTCGAAACAATTTGTTTTCGCTGGAATGGTATACCTTTATACCTGCTTCATTCCTCAAAATTTTTTCGATTTTGTGTGAAGCCGGACCAATGTATGGCAGACTAACAGACGACTGATATTCAATCTTCTGCTGTATACCTTGTGGCGTTTTCATAGCATTATCTATGAAATGCCGTGGGTAACCATTCATTTTTAGAACATTTCTTAAATGTTCTAATTCATCGTCAATGTTACTTACCTCACAAATTGTTTTCGCTCGGTTGATGAGTGTCTTGCACACCGAGTTTTTAATACTAGGATGATGAAATGAATTATAATGCAGATACCTGTCTGTATGTGTTGGTTTCCTATAAACCTTATGTCCTAGCGACCCATCATCATGTATAGTGAAAAGAACATCTAAGAACGGTATAGTTTTATCATCCTTCTGTACTTCAAAAGTAAACTTGATCGATGGATGGATGCAAACTATTAATGTGGTCTAGAAACTTTTGTAAATTATCTAGTCCGTGAGACCAGCTACTCAATGTATCATCCACGTATCTGAACCAGAAACCTGGTTTCAACTTTGCAGTAGCTAAGGCCTTCTTTTCAAATTCCTCCATGAACAAATTAGCCATAACAGGCGACAATGGAGTTCCCAGTGGAGCGCCGTGAATTCTTAAATGAATCTCAGACTATTCCGAAGCAACCATTTTGGCGATTGATAGTCATAAGTTCTCTCGCAAAATGAGAGAGTCAATTGAAATCGAGAAGCACAATACTATAGATCAGGAGGGAAAGACACTAGATAGTACGTGGCGTGCTCTCTTTAATGTGCAAAATTAAATGATTGGGTAAGAATGACATTCTGGTAAGTTTTGACGTAGTTAGCTTGTTCACTAATGTTCCAGTTGAAGAGGCTTGTAATATCGCGAAAGAAAGACTTCTTTCAGATATTAAATTATCTCAAAGAACTAATCTTTCTCCTGAGAATGTTCATGATTTGTTGAAACTATGTTTGACCACGACATGTTTTCAATGGCGGGAGAAATTCTATGAACAAACAAACGGCGCGTAACTCTAGTCGTTTCCCTTATTGTTTGACGTCCACGAAAATTTTAACTCGCTCACGTCAGGCCACGCCATCCTGGCTAGTACAGCCGGAAGTTTTTATCAGGATTTGGTAGGTACAAAGTGCCGGTTGTACTAGCCAGGATGGCGTGATTGATGACGAATCGCTTGTAAAAACGCGGACAAATATTTGCTCGAGTTACGCTTCTGGTATAACTTCCTATTCTGTGATAAAAAGAGCGTGTGAATTAAACAAGTCACATATTATTAGCACTGATGAAGATCCGGGCTTACGGATCGAAAGCTTTGCAGTAATAAATTTACGTGGTGTTTCCACAAACAAAAACAATTATATTTTATCGCCATGCAAACATTCAAAGAACTTAAAGTCCATATAATAAACAGAACATTAAACGGTTGCGAGAAGATATGGATTTGTGTTCTCGTGTCAAAAACAATATCGTTATTGTTTTTGCCACTCGAACATAAAATCCATATCTCTTCGCAACCGTGTAATATCCTAATATATAATATATACTATCAAACCCCTATGTTAATGGTCACCTGTCTTAAGCAGACACATACCTCTTGTCTCAATGATTTCTTTAATAAAATACTCTTGTCATTATCTCTATTCAGCGGAGACCTTTATTAAGCAGAAGCGGACAGTTAACTTGACCACCCAATGAGCGGAATAACGTCTCTTAAAGCGGACAAACGTAACTGATGATGTAAATATTCTAAATCAAATTTTCATAACAATCAATGGTGGAAATCAATTTTAAGAAAATTCAAGCTATTGAAATGACCTAATATTTTTAATAATTTTAAATTTTTTAGTATATTAAAGTAATAAACATCTTGTATATATAATATTTATATGGAATGTCATC